CACATGACATTACAATGATCTTGGCTTTTTTTAAATTTTTTTCATATTTATCATTTTAAGGTATATGCATTAGTCAGAAAGTCAGTACCTTACTTAATGGGGAACCAGTAGAGGCATTTCTACTAAAATCAGGAAGAAGCAAGAGTGCTCACTATCTTTCTTACTGTTTAGCATTGTATTTGAGGTATTAATCAATGCAATTAGACAAGATAAATCAGTTAGAGGCATAAGAATTGGAGAAGAGTAAGTAAACTCATATCTATCTGAAGATATTATACCAGAAATATATAGCATTAATACCGCCGATTATCAGTGATGAGTTTTGCTCTCTCACATGTTGAAATATAGCATTAGAGAAGCATGCCGGGGTAAGCACATGAAGCAGTTTATTTAAAAAGGGGTAACATAGACTTCTCTCAGGAGGGAAAAGGGAGCTCTAGCTCCCATAGTATCCAAAGAAGTGAGAGGTCCTGCCTTTTTTATAGATCTTAGGCTTCCTTTGTTTTCCTGCTCTCCTCCCCCATCTCTCTCTCTCATACTAGGCCCTGGAAATGCTCCCTGGGATGGTCAAAAAGTGAGAAAGACAGGGGCTGGAGAGGCCAAGGTAGTGTGATCTGGGCCAGAAGGGGTATAATTGACAACTCCCTGTAGGGAGGGACAATCCCTGATTCAGGTTACCTTAGCAACTGGTTGTAGCAGGGGCAGGTTATCTTGATAAGGGTGGAGGAAGGGCTCTGAAGGCATTAGCATTTCAATCCCTCTCCAACTTCCTGGACTCACTCAAATTGGCCTCCTTGATCTGACTTGACTTGATTCACCTATCTATATTGACTGTCTAATTCTGGCTTCAGTATACCCCCAAATCCTAAAGAATCAATGATAAAACTAATTCAAGCAATAAAAGAATTCAGTAAGGCAGCAGGGTATCAATTACACAAATGATAGCCCATTGACATTTGGGGGCAGATAATTCTTAGCCGCTGTGCCATATTGGGCAGCATCTCTGGCCTCTACCCACTAGAGGTCAGTAGTGTTCCTTTCATGACTTGTGACAACCCAAAGTGTCCCCAGACACCAAATGTTCTCTGTGAGAGCTATAATCACACCTCATTAAGAACCATTTAGTTAGATGCATACCTCCCACCATAAACAAAACTAAATTCCAAATGGATCAGGTACCTAAGTATAAAAAAATGCAACCATATACATACTAGAAAAAAAGTATGGTTAATTACTCTGACCTCAGCCTAGGAAAAGCCTTCCTAAGTCACTCAAAGTACAGAGGCAACAAAGGAAAAGCTTGATAAATATGAATAATAAATATTTTTGCATTCTCAAACACAATAAACAATGTAAAAATATAACTGGAAAACTGGGAGAAATGTGTGCAATGGAAAAAAGGCTAATATCTCTAATGGATAAATACTCTGAAAAATTGAGGGATGAAGAGCAAAAATCTAGAAGAAAAAAAAGGGGGAAAGATGTAAATAGAAAATTCAGGAAAAATATAATATTTTTTTGGTACCTGGGATTGAACCCAAGGTGTTTAATTACTGAGCCACATCCCCAGCCCTTTTTTATTTTTATTTAGAGACAGGGCCTCACTGAGTTGCTAAGTACCTCCCTAAGTTGCTGAGGCTGATTTTTGAACTCACAATCCTCCTCCCAGCCTCTAGGATTACAGGTATGTGCCACCACACCCAGCTAAAAATATTTCTTAAACTTAATAAAAATTGTTCAAACTCACTTATAATTAGAAATGCAAATAATACCGACATACCATTTATCACCTATTAGATAGGCAAAAATTAATATCACAACAATATGACAAAAACAATATGACAAAAACAATATGACAACATGCTCTCTTGGTGTACCCTAGGGAAACAGGTACTCTCATACATTACTGGTCTACCATTTGCAGTTCAACCTATCTGGAGGACAATTTGGCAATATCTAACAAAACTACATATATACTTTCTTTTTGCCCCAGCAATCCCACTAAAAATACACTTCCAATAGTACAAAAAGTTTATTTATTGCACCACTGTTTACAATTACAAGATATTAGAAACAACCAAAATGTGTGTACATAGCAGAGTAATGAATTAAACAACACGATATCCACACAAATGGAGCTATAAATTAGCAAGAAAGATCTTTATGAACTAATATGGAGTGATTTCTAGGACATACTGTTTTTTGAAAAAGGGAAAACCAAGAGTGTCTATCCTATGCAATCCTTCACGTTAGAAAGAAGGGTACATGAAAACAAACAGGTGTCTACTTGTTTGCGTAAAAGAATAGAGTCAGTTCTGCAATAATACAACCTATGCATCCCTAAAAATCTCCCACTATGCAAAACTACACAATAAAAACCAAAGGTTTATGGGGAAAGCAGTTAGGGGCACAACACTAAAAGACTACTTCCATACCTCACCCCCTCCGGCCCTTCCCTCCATCTTCCCTCCTCCCTCTCCCCTCCCTCTCTCCCTCCCTCCCCCTCTCTTTCCAAACACACACAGATAGAAATCATGGTAAATTATTAAGAAATACATAAATAAACCAGATGTGGTGGCACATGTCTGTAACCCCTGCAACTTGGGAGGCTGAGGCAAGGCCAGCCTCAGGAACTTAGGAAGACCCTAAGCCACTTGGTGAGACCCTGTCTCAAAATAAAAAATAAAAAGGACTAAGGATGTAGCTAGTGGTAAAGACCCCCCAGAATAAAGAAAGAGTGGGGGAGGAGAAAAGAAAATACATAAACCATAAACATTGTAGTCAATTGGCACTTCACCTAGAAAAGAAACCCTGAGGTTTGCTTATGGAGTGAGCATCAGAGGGGCTGCAGTTGTCAGTTACTGGGAAGCAGTGGAAGGAGGGTTATTTGAAATTGAAGGGAAGGTTCTTAACACCAGGCTTGAATGGGATCCTAATACAGGGTGAACTGGGGTACTGATAGATATTTGAAGTGTGTTGGGGGTGCATGTTGTGCGTGCACGAGTGTTGTATTCTCACACAGGATAGTTCAGCTGGGTGCAGTTCCTGCATTCACCTAGAGTTTCTGATGTATAAAATCATGCATAAGCAAATGTGAAATTCACATTATGCTCAAATCATTCTCTTAACATATCAATCACATTGGAACAAACTCAAATTTTCAAAACAAGCATAGCAAATTGACCGCTGCAAGGATGATAAACTAGAAATTAATGACACTGATTTGCCTACAAGAGGTAGATAGGGATAGGTTAGTAAGAATGAGGAACTGGCTGGGCACGGTGGCTCACACCTGTAATTCCAGTGGCTTCGGAAGCTGAAGCAGGAGGATCACAAGTTCAAAGCCAGCCTCAGCAACTTAGCTAGGCCCTAAGCAACTCAGCAAGGCCCTGTCACTAAATAAAATATATTTAAAAGGGGGGTAGTGGTGTGATTCAGTGGTTAAGTGCCCCTGGGCTCAATCCCTGATACCAAAAAAAAAAAAAAAAGAATGAGGGATTGGTAATGGGTTAGTAGTAGTGTCAAGAAGGAGTGTCATTTCTCTGAGTATATTTTTTGTATGGTTCATTAGAGCCAGGTAATGTTATAATATCCCCCATAAATAAATAACATCAGTCAGAATGTGAGGAGAACCCCAAGGTTGAAAATAAATAGTAACAAATAAGCCAAACTAAACATAAATAACATTACCACCTTACAGAAGATGGCTAACATTAATAACTTTGGAAATCAGTATTTTTGTTTCGTTGATGGATCCATGGACCATGAGACACAACCATGGATTAAAATAGTTTTCTATACAGCCAAAAGAGTGAAAGCTGTAAACTCAAGAACTTTACATACATAAGTTAAAGAGCCTGTGAGGTAACTAACAGATTAGACAATTCTTCCCTTTTATACAATCCCTATATGACTTGATCACAAAGTCAGAGTGATACTTCAAAAAGAATTCTTCATTCATTTATACTCAAGTCATCCTGCCTGGCCATCCCTTTCCCTGGTCTCCATCCATTCTTCATCCCTTTGCAGTGGTATTCCTTAGCCACTCCCTTCCTTAAGAATTATATATACATTTTCCTTCCTAAGCAAGCAAGTAAGCAATGGGTCAGGGAAAAGATGGCCAAGGGCAGATGCACAAATGAAGAGACTTAATTAGACAGACTTTGGGATGTCAACAGCTTGAATCAACTTAGTTGACTTTGGCAAAGAAGCGACTCTGGCTTGCTCAAAGGCTTGTTCCACCTTAGATTGTGCCACTAATTCCAAATTTTATGTTTCTAAGAGATTAGCAGTAATCTACACAAGGAGCTAGGAAGCTATTGTAACCAGGCATCTAAACTACAATACATTTGATGCTTTGGACTTCTTTTTGGAGCCAATGACAGCTTCCAGCATAGTCATTTGCCAAGTGTGAAAGTCTTAAAGATATGGAGGACAATCTTGAAATCTCATAAAGGATAAATTGGGCATTTGCTTAGCAGTAATCTACTTGGGAACATGAAGTGAAAAGAATTCCAGTGCCCATAACACTGAGGGGTCAAAGCAGGATGCTTTTCAGGGTGTCCAGCCTCTTTGTTCAAAAACCCATGAGAAAGTCCCCAAGAATATGGTCAGAGCAGAAGTTCTGGTGGTGATGGTGCCCCCAACAAACCGGCATACACATGGCTGCTTTCTGAAGGATCTACAGTGCAGTAACAAGGTTTGCCACATAGGTGTGCATGTAGAGGCTCAGAGACTGGAGGGAGAGTGACCTGAGTGAGCCACCGAGAAAATGTGGCTCCACACCTTACCTCCCAAGAAGACCATCTCCATCAAACAATCCTTTGATGACAGAAGAGAGTGCAGGGAACAGAGGTTACATTCTTCCCAAAGAAGAGTTGATTCCTGAAAAGCCCTTGGGGAGGCAATATCCTAGAGACTGATTTATGAGCAAAGGTAAATAAAAACTTGCAGACCATAGAAGTATATTGCCAAGTTAGAAACATATTTAATAGGCATAAATTGGGGTGCCACATCAATCAGTGGGAATTGGGGAGCTAATAAAAATCAAGGAGACTGAAAGAACCAGCAAAGGGTAGGTTGGGTGACAAAGAAGCAGGAAGCAGAGAACACATGGGAAAAGTTGGAGGCAATGCCAAAGGCTTATTGGAGAAGGCAGCATGGCTATAGTCCACATCCCACGAAAGAGCTTGGCTATTTGGTTCTCGGCGTAGTTACTCCTCTCATTTTCTCAGACCAAATGGACATCTGGCATTCAGCAGTAGGACAAGGGAGATGATGTTTGGAAGTGGAGCATCAGTGAATGCATACTGAAGAGACATTCCGTAACACCCTCTTCACACCAAAGGCAGTTTTGTGTTGATAGAGAATATCTCAGGTTGTCATACAGCCAACAGCAGTATTTGGGGGGAGAGCAATGATAGGGTAGAAGTGGGGCTGGTACACAGAAGGTTCTCAAACTCTAGTTCTTAAGTACTAGAGAGCAGGGAACAATTTGGCTTCACTGCTTTAATCAAGAAATTGAATGCTCATTTTCTGCTCTATGTGCACCTTCTCTAAAATGTTAACAAATTCTGTGAAAGATATGGCTCCATCTCCATCCTGATCAGCTTCCTGGATGGTCCTGTCTGCAATGATGCCCAGTTGCTCATCTGAGATATTCACTCCAACCATCATGTGTAACACCTGTAACAGCTCACTGCGGGAGATCTTGTCATCTTTATCCAAATCATATAGTTGAAAAGCAAAGCGTAGTTTGTTGATTCGGCTATTGAGTGGTTCGGATCCAATCACATCTTTGTTCTTTACATCATTATCAATGGGTCGGAAATGAGCCAAGATTCTTATGAATCCACGGAAGTTCACCTGGTCTTCTCCATCTGGAAAGAAGGCACTGATGATCCGGTCTCCCAGTGGGTTGATGGCAAGTTCTGGAATCCTCTGGAAATCTTCCCGGCTGAGAGATCCACTCTCTTCTTTGTCCAAGGTAGTGAACCGTCTATAGAGGCGGGCAATCTGACTATGGGAAAAGCCAGTCTCCTTCTTAATTGCCTCCAATTCTTCATTCCTCAGTAACATAGAGGCCTGAGATCCCATCCTGACCCAGGAACTCCTCTGGGAGCGACCCTGCCAGAAGCAACAGGGTAAAGCTAAAAGAAGAAAGAATTGTTTAAAAATATTGTACCCTAATTAGTAACTTTATTTTTACAAGGAAATGAACTAACAATTCTGAAATTATTTTATATGTATACCCAAACTGAACAAAACAATAAATATTTTGTGGATTATGCCAGCCAAGTATCTCACTGTTGGAGAAAGGAGATACAAATAAGAGTTGAGTCTAAAAAGAATGCTTCGGTGTTAGATTGAAATCTAAAGTGCCAGTATAAATTTATACACATATTCACATATGTATACATACAGTTAAAGATAGATGGATAGATATAGAGTAAATGTGTGTGTGTGTGCATGTGTGTGTGCATGAGTATTATTAGAAACAACCAAGTGCCACAAGAAATAAAACACATGCTTGGAAGTGGGTGAGCAAGGCAAACCTTTACTTCTGGCAGAAGGGCCATGAGCTACTGGAACCTGGCTAGCAAGTGTGCCTGAACGAGCAGTCCACCTGCTTATATCTAATGCAGTTCTGCCCTTCACTCTGATTGGAGGAGTTCTGGGTTACAGTCTATACAATTGGCTAATTTTAGAATTAGAGCGGGCAAAAAGGAAGGGCTACAACTGGATCCAATTAAGGCTGAATACTATTCTGAAAATGGACCACCACACTTTGTGTTTCTCTCAGTATGCAGATCTATATCGTTTAGCTCTGTTATCTGAGAAGGCCTTAGGAGCTAGGGTACTCTAATAACACTGAGGACATCTAGTGTCTAAATCTTGTTTCCAAATAAGATTCTCTAATAAGGGGGTTCTTTTGGAGAAAAGATTTATTCCAGGGCTGGGTCAGGGAAAATACAAGATAAACCTAGACTATCTTGTGATACCAGAAAGTAAGAAAATACTCAAAAAATAATAGGGGGCATGTCAGAAGGGCATGGAGAGAACTTAAAGGAAATGCCAGTGACCAAATCTGGTACACTTTGAGCTATAAAATAAATAATGGTAATGGATTATAACACAGACAAGATAAATATCCATCAATCCATACTGATATAAATAAATTGGACAGATAAATAAATAAATGGGAGGGGTCCAGCTCTTCATTTCAGAATACTAATTAATAAATATAGAAGTAATGATGGGGAAAAGATCACCATTAGCCAAATACCACAGTAATAATTTTTGCAGGCAATAGTCATCAATGAATGCTAAAGTTAGGTAGGTGAAAGTATGCTGAGAATTGGGACATTTGTATAGTAGCAATGTTTTTCTTCATAATATAATTGTTGGTTACAAAGAGAAAATAGTAACTTGAGCTGCAGAAACTTGACAGACACTATCTTCACCAAAGGTCAAAGTTAACATCATCAGTAATAGGTCACACTTATGTATGCACCTCCTGATCTGATGCATTGAGAGGACACTTTTGTGGGACTTTTGCCAAAAAAAAAAAAAAAGTCACTTTACTCTAATCAGGAGAAAATGTCTGAAAAACCCAAATCAAATGATATTCTATAAAATAACTGACCAGTACTCTTCAAAAACATCAAGGTCACAAAAGAAAAAGACTGGGGAACTATCAAAAATTTAAGGAAACTAAGGAGATTTGACAACTAAATGCAATATGCAGTCCTGGATTGAATCCTGGAGGACAAAAAGGACATCAGTATGGAAAAAAATGGCAAAATTCTAAGACAGTTTATATTATTTGATACTATTCAGATTAGTGTGGACAGTATTTATCAATGTTAATTTCCTGGTTTCAATAAATATACTATGCCCATATAAGTCATTAACATTAGGAAAAGAATATGGGAAGCTGTCTACCATTATTATAACTTTTTCTGTAAGTCTAAAATTATTTCCAAATAGAAAGTTAAAGACACACACACACACACACATTGCCATGGGTATTTCAGTTTTTATGATGAAATTTATATCACCAATATCTATTGTTGAGTATATATCTTCAGAAAAAGTTAAGTTCAATTAGAAAATACTTAGTTCAGAACTTTTTAAATTTTAAATAGCAAAATCTAGGAGACCATAGAGAATCCAATCTAAGGTGATTAGAAATTGTTACAGTATTGGACACTTTGCCTCCAAGCACATTGTCATGGCAAAGATTCCCATTTCAGAGTGTGGAATCAGTTTGTCATAGCAGTTCACCTTCATCCCCTTCTGAATGGAATCTCTCCAAGCCTCATCAGAGACATCCAAAGACAAAGTGTCTTATGGTCTCTAGGAGAGAGGATGAAGATGCTTGGCATGAGATGGAGCCCCTATGGCAAAAGTTGATTAGTTTCCAGAGAAACACTGAGGCCTAAATTCTTATCAGGATTAACAGCAAAATTGTTCCAATGTATTGTCTTTATCATTATATTCTTTGCCAAGTTTGATCAAATTAGCCAGGAAAGAATATCAGGAGTTCTTTGTCATTTCAAAGCCTGAGAATAGTTTTTAACTTGTCATACTGTGGCAACCAGGGATTTTAAAATAGAAGACTGATGTCAAGTCACACTTTTTTCTTTCCAAGGAGATAAATTTGAAGGACAGGGGACATTTCAACAGCCTAATTGGGAAGTAAGTGGAGGAAATCTCTCAAAATAGGACCCAGACCTTTTATTCATAGTCCAAAGCAATAAGCAATGATTCTTCCATTTTCTATCAAGAAAAAAAAATGAATCTAATGAGAAAGCAACTTCTAAGAAAAACCCAAGGAATTAGAAGACTGAGAATGGAATACTGAGCCTGGAAAAAAGATCAAAGACCAAAGCTGGCAGGAGGCACATTCAATAGTATTTTTCGAGCTCTGGAATATTCTCACTACCTCATTCTCTTTCCCTTTCACAGCTCTATTTTTCATTTATTTATCCTTTCCCATCTTTCCCTTTCTCCATGGGTTCATATTAGAGATCTTCAGTATTCTATTAGTTTATAATAGGGTTGGGATTAAGAGATGCTGGTCAAGCCTATTCTTTGCTATAAAAGAATTATACATACCCACAGCATCCTAGATAAATCTTACTTTTTTTTTGTAAAAGTTCTTCCTAGGACTGGGGTTGTGGCTCAGTGGTAGAGCACTTGTCTAGCATGTGTGAGGCCCTGGGTTCAACTCTCAGCACCACATATAAATAAATAAAATAAAGGTCCATTTACAGCTAAAAAAAACACACACATTTTTTTTAAAAAAGCTTTTCTTAGTTTTGCAACCTCTGTTTCATGAACTTCTGTTTATGAATGATCCCATCCCTCCAAATTAGATCTCTTGCTTCAGCTTAGGTGTTTCCCTTTATCATAGATATTTTGCTTCTTTAAACCAGTTAAGAAAACTTGAAACTAATGTTTGAAATATGATATGTCAAGAGCCTTGTAATGATTTGAACAACCAATAAAAATAAATAAATAAATAAATAAATAAAAAAAAGAAAACTCTAGGGGCTGGAGTTGTGGCTCAGTGATAGAGCACTTGCGTTGCATGTGTGAGGCACTGAGTTGGATCCCTGGCACCATATAAAAATAAACAAATAAAATAAAGTTATTGTGTCTATCTACAACTAAAAGAATATTAAAGAAAAAGAAAACTCTAATCACGGCATGAGGATCTCTAAAATACAGATTCTTACCTAATCCTGAACCTTCCATTCCTCCATACGGCCTAACAAAATAAGTTCACTTCCTTAGCCTAACTCTACATTCGGATCCTAATGTAACTTTCCAGATGGATTGCCCACAAATCTTCTGCACAGATCATAGACCACAGCCAAACTATGCTGCTTCTCCAAAAAATATCTTGTACTTTCAAAACAATATCTCCACTTGAATGTCCTCACTCCACTTAGGGCCTTTCATTCATTCCTTCATTTTGAAAAAAAAATAACTAAAAATCTCCTATTCATAAGTATTAGGATACCAAAATGAGTCAGACATAATCTTTGTCATTCAGAGTACATGGATACTAGAGCCAGTTATACTGAACTGATTATAAGGTAAGAATATATAACTGGTGTGTGGCATTGGAGTGGGTGATATAGGATTAAATTCTGTGGAAAAGGTAGCTTTTAAGAAACTCTTTGAGAAGTAGGTAGAAGTTTGATATGAACATGGGAGGAAAGATTTCAGACTGGGTAAACCATTTTTATGGGGTACGTGTCCATTAGTTCCAATTCTTTGTTTTGGCCGCTGCATGGGGTGCAAGAATGGAGGGTACTGGCTGTAATGCTTCAATAGGCCAAATCTTGAAATGTTTTAATTATCAGACTAAGGTGTTTGAATTTATTCCACAAGCCTATCAAATTATTGAAACTTTTTTTTTAAAGAGTGAGAGAGGAGAGAGAGAGAGAGAGAGAGAGAGAGAATTTTTAATATTTATTTTTTAGTTCTCAGCGGACACAACATCTTTGTTTGTATGTGGTGCTGAGGATCCAACCCGGGCCGCACGCATGCCAGGCGAGCGCGCTACCGCTTGAGCCATATCCCCAGCCCTATTGAAACTGTTTTTGATCACAGAAATAACCATAGTCAGAAGAGGTTGTGCTTTATGAAAATAGGGTGATTAATTTCCTCAGTCTTTAGAAATTCCTTTTGGGTGGAATAGGGAGAGAATAGCTTGATGTTAGTCTCAAGTATAGAAGATTGTAAGAGCAATGATACCAATTATACCTCCCATTTAACTTACCAGTTTGGTCTCTGCAGAAAGTAGAGATCTTGGAGACTGGTTGTAAATAACTGATGACTTTTACTATACCCGCTATTCTGATGTGGATTTTTTCTTTGAAAAAAAATCAGCACAGCACCTGGCAAGTGGAATGATACAACTATTGACCATAGTACCATTTTCAAAGATCACCAAAAACACTTTGCTTTTGAGACCATTTTAGATTTTCTCTCTGCCATATCATTATCATCTTGACATCACACTAGTTCGTATTTTCCTGAATGGAGTCAGAAACTGGAAATAATGAGGTCTTTAGATGCCTTAGATACAGGTAAACCAGAGGGAATGCTTGGTTCCATGTATTTTATCCAGCAG